GGGCCACATGTGGCCTGCGGGCCTTGAGTTTGACACATGTGGAGTAAACTATGAATGTGGGAATTCAGGAAAGCAGAATTTTTAAACATGACAATCCAGTTGCTTCTGTCTTTTATTGACAGACATCAACTTAGTTTGATTGTTGTGGGGTCAGATGACCTAAAACTTGCAAACAGCGACACAGAGGGAAAATTGTTCAGAGATGAAAGTTGTATAAAAGACTATTTTGTTGTTCAGCTGTTGTTCATGTTTCCAACATGCCATGCTAGTGACATGGGAATCTCTTCAAACAATGCAAGTAAAGCAGTAAAACTTTCTGATGGTGTTGGTGCACATGAATTATCCAAGTAGGAGTGCCAATAAAATGTTAACGAGAGCTACAGCTTCTCTAACCTACCCACTTTTTCCCTGCTTTGCTTTGTCTTTGTGCTGCTTTTTGGAGCCTCTCTTTTGCACACCCTGCGAGTCTACAAATTATGGATCCGACTACTGAACGCTTAAACTAACATGTGGGACCAGAGCCGCCATTTGGATGTGATTCTTGCTGAGATTGGCAGGCCAGCTGTGGACCCTGGTGCTCACTGGGGGGATGGAATCAGTCTTGGAGAAGTTCCTAGTTCGGTCCGGTGGGATGGCCACATTAATTTGGATGATTGGAAAAACAATGGAGATGTAATGGTGAGACTTTAGGGTAGATGAAAATTAAAAGTCTTATCAACTGAAAAATATTGTCACTATCTGAACTGGGTCCCCTGTGTCAGCCTTGGCTGGCTGGCTCTCCCAGATCTCCTGGATGATATGTAAACATGACGCTCTTTCCCATCTCCTTCCCCATCCTACAGATACACACTCCCTGATCTCACGTCTCACTCTATCATAAAGAGCAGAGCTGTCAGTGGCAGCAGCCCCAGGCTCCCTGTCTCCACTGTTTTCGTCTGGTTATTGTCTTCTCTGGATGGATTTATCTGAAATGAATTTTGTGGTGCTTCGGTACAATAACAAAGTGTTCATTCATTCATTCATTAACTTTTAAGATACCACACCAGTTACGCCTAACCTGAGGTGCTGTTGTTGCCTGTCAAGTACACACTTCCTCTAAGGGCAATGACCTGCTGCACTGAAGGTTCACTGAACAGAATGAACTGTTGCCTGCTGAAGATGAAATACAATCTGTCTTTTGAATCTATTAAAACTATTTACCTAATTTGGATTGTATATGACACAATATGAGTTATGTCTCATGTGAAGTACCTTCAGGAAATGTTTTGAATTTAGACTATTTGATTAAAATTAAGTCATTTTCTAAAACATATGAGAATATAACAGGTGTGTATATTCCATAAATGTGTTTTATTGTTTTATTTTGAATGTGTTTTAGCTCAACTAGAAGGTGAATTTGCGGAGATGGAGAGCAGACTGCTGCATCTGGAAACTCTGTGTTGTCAGTGTGAGCAACAGACTGTAAAAAACCATCATATGAGTCAACTTGAAGATTATAAAAAGAAGAAAAGGTAGGGGATTTGATTTTTTTCTATTGTCAGTCATTTATCTTTATGCTTTGTTCATTTTCTTTTATCAGAAAAAAAAGAAAGATTATCAGGAAAATCACATACACTACATTACCATGGTATTCATCCATGTTAACAGACGGATGTACCCGGGTGCCATCCTGTTCTTCAGCCCCAAAGCTTATGATATCTGTTAATGCTTTGTAAATTCGACAGCTTTACCTCTTCTGGGAAGACTTTGTTCAAGGTTTAAGTGTGTTTATGGGATTTTTCAAATAAATTTCCAGAAGTACACTTGTGAGGCCAGACACTGATGGTGGATGATAGTCTCCACTCTAATCTAATTCATTCTACAGGTTTTCTGTGGAGGTCAGAACTCTTTAGGGACCTTTGTGTAGTCATCTTGAAACAGGAGAAGTTAAATTTGTCCAAAATGTCTCTGTATGCTGATGCTTTAAGAATTCCTGACAGTAGAACCACGGGGCTGAAGGACAGACACACACCATCAGTGTGTCTGAATTCAGGGGCTGCATCCTGTGTTCTTGGCCTTTGAAGGACCCACCCTACGTACACCAGATCCTTCGAAGGCAGCAAATATATAGGGGCATTTTTCTGCCATAATCCAAGAGCTCACATTTTCAGTCTGAAAGCAGGATTTCATGTCTTTTGTTCTCAAAACTTTTAATACTTTTGCTTACATTTTCATTTTGAAAACAGGACTTCATGTCTTTCTTCTCAAAACTTGTAATGCTTGTACTCAAAACTTCTCCTCGCGGTCACACATAGGCTGCATTCAAACTGCAGCCTGAAATGACCCAATTCCGATTTTTTTTTTTTTTTTTTGACGTAATGCGACCTGTTTCTGATCTTTTTATGACAGTCTGAACAACACAGGTTGGATTCTTTTCGAATATGACCCAGGCCACTTGGGTATCTGATACATATCCGATTCAAATGTGACCTAACGTCCAGGTCGCATTCATCCGACCTGAGTGACCGAGTATCAGTGACCTGAACGTCACTGATGCTCAACAAATCTCACTATTCTCCGTCCTCATACACACAAGTGAGAAGAAAAACAACAACCATGATGGATTATGTTGTTAATATGCTGCTCCGGTCAGACAAAAACTTCAAATGTGTCAGCTATGCTCCACCGTTGGCGTCCATCGATATAAAGTCGTGTTTATTTGCCACAGTGTGTTTTGTATACCAAGTATTTGTGTTTTGTCCTGTTTCAGTTTCACACTTTTTTGCATTAAGCCCTCTTCAAATACAACACCAGCCATTTTTGAAGGAAGTGATGCAACACACAGTTTAGCTGACCGTGAACATCAAAAAAGGGTGTTGGCTCTCATTGGGTGGAAGAGTTCATTTATTTTCAGGTCTCCTGCATTTAAAACCTTTAAGGACAAAAAAAACCTCCTGAAAAATCCAGTTGACGTCTGCAGACCACCAGCAATGCCAAGACCTTTATGCTAATATGTTAATAGCTTCATGTAAGATTTGAAATTCCTCTTGCATTTGTAACATTTTGTTTTACTGTCCTCACAGTTAGTTTGTGACTATGTTTCTATATTTCTTCTTTTTCTGCGCAGTTTATCAAATTAAACTTTTTGGTTTAGCCTTCTTTCATAAAATGATATTCACGTTTGGTCCTTTGTTAAAGGACGTTAATATAGATAAACTGTGACTTAGTTTGGGTTATCAAAATATAATAAGGAGGGACATACTGATGAATAATAAGGAAATGGTTTGGTTATGTTCAGAGCATTTCTTTCTGCATAATAAGCAAATGAAAGAAACAGACTGATATTACTTGAGTTTTAATAGAACCTGTCTGTTTTGGTGCAGGAAGGAGGCGGATTTACTGGAAGGTAAGCAGCAGTGTCTCTGACACATCTGTTCTCTCTTTTTGTGTAGAAATTAAAACCTGAAATGAAAATGAGTTGGCATTGTAAAGAAAACATTCCCCTCAAAAACACTGTATTAAGAGGTCTTTTTGGGGCAGTGACTGACTGAAAGAGCAGTGACTGACTTGCAAAGCAAGTCAGTCACTGCTAACAAATAGGCAGGCACCTATTGTTCTACACCCAATAGAATGTCTCTTTATATCTTTATTTTTCTTCCATTACCGTTAATGCGGCTCGTACCGCTGCGTGCCCACCCACAAAAGTGGTATCAAAACGTGCGGCTCGATCCCGGCATTGGAGCTATTATTTTTATTGGGGATCGGAGTTACGACGGCGACGTAAAAAGCGAAAAACGAGCGAAATTTCCAACTGCCGATCCTTAGAGTGTAACTGACACCAACTGCCGCTTTTTTAGAGTGAGAAAAAGAGTGGATTTTTGACCCCAAAATAATTTTGAAATCGCTCTCATGCGTGCAAAACTTGCTCTATTGGTATGAAAGTCGGTCATGACATTGATACGAATGCCTGCTCCGGTAAAGTGTTTTCAAAATTTCCCTAGGTCTTACGGTTTTCGGTCCAGGTGCCTCAGAGCAAAGTGATGGGACAGGACTAACTGACGCTCCTTTCCCAGTGTTTTACATACATTTCTGAAAAATTTCTGAGCTCAGCGCACAACATTTTTCTCTCATCACTACAATTACTGTGAATGAGCTACAGATATGAATCGCGGTACTAAATGAGACGACAAATAGCCCTCTCATATGCTTCAAACGGTTTTTGGATCGGCCTTACGGATCCTGAACGGGAAGCAGTCGTTCGGACTGCTTTTTCCATTAAAACTGACTGGGTGTCTCATAAAGATAGATAAGCCTGACACACACAGGACAGTTTCATCACTATAGCAACAGAATGCAGAGGAAGGCACAGCTGCTGGTTTGGACTACAAAGACTCTGTAGTTCTAAATATGGCGGAACACTTTAATACAGAGGGCAGAGCAGAAGGTCAGAACTACAACATGGCGGAACACTCAATTATTACAGAGGAGGGCTGAGCTGGCGTTCAGAACTACTTGCTGTTCTGGGCTTTATACAGGTGGATTAACCAAACCACTGTTACACATTGGATTAGTGTGGTTATGAAAATTAAGTTTACTGAAAGTTTCAAAATAAAACTCTGCAAATCCCACTCACGAAAGTGCACCGCCGTAGGCGGTGCAAAGATGAAAATCTTTTTTTTATGTTTTTTTTCTCAGGATAGTGAACTGCCTTGCGCAGCAAGGCAGTTCATTAACATTAGCATTTCATGGTTGTCTCAAAGATTGAAATCCTTCCCCAGCTTTCTGTCTCACACACACAGCAGTT